TTTGATCTTTCGGGTTTCTTCAACTGAATCTTTAATGAAAATGATATTGGCGTCAGCATAGAGAAGGTGGGTGATCCTTGGGCCTTTAATGCTAGTTCTGACTCCTTTGATCAATCCACTGTTATGGGCTTCATTAAGTAGTGCTGACAATCCCTGTGCACAAAAGAGAAACAAATATGAGGATAGAGGATCTCATTCTGGGTTCTCTTTTTAGGGTGAAAGGTTTTGATAACTGATCATTAATTATGATTTGGAAAGACAATGTACATATGTATTTTCTAATAATTACAATAAATGACTCTCCAAACCCCAACTGGTCCATGATTACAAACATAAAGTTCCATTCAACCTTGTCATAAACTTTTTCCATATCAAGCTTATGAGTTTATCCCTTGTTTGGACCATTCTTTGAGCCCTTGAGGTAATGGATAAGCTTATGAGCAACAAATAAATTACTCGAGATTTTTCTCTCCGAGAAAAACGCAAATTGGTTGGTTGAAATACATTTAGACATGAGATGTTTAAGACGGTTAACAAGAACCTTAGACAATATCTTATAGACAACAGTGCAAAGGTTTTATTGTCCCTTGTTCCCATATGTAATGGGGTAAGGGGAGGTAAGACAATGACAGTCTTGTTAACAGACCTAAAGTCAGACCTGTCATTCAACAAATTAAGACAGAGTGATAAGAACAGAACCAACAATATTCCAAAAAGAGCGATAGAAGGAAACTTGAAGGTTATCAATACCTGGTGCTTTGTTGGGATTCATTTGAGAAAAAGGCAAGAAGGACCTCCTCGGTAGTGAAATCTCAATTCAAGGAATGTTTTCCTCCGTTGTGATGCATCTCTCAATGGCATTGAGGATCGAACAAGGTGTATCAGTTCTGTAAGAGTTGAAGAGAGGTGAAATACCTTGTTGCAATGTCAAAGACTTCATCTTGGTTCTTAGTCCAAACTCCCTCAGTATTTTCCATCTCTTCAATTATGTTTTTCTTCCGCCTCCCATTAGCTCTTGCATGAAATAATGAAGTGTTTATATCTCCATCTTCAAGCCAATCAACCCTTGATCTTTGTATCCAATAAGTTTCATCTTTATCAATCAGGCCATCAAGCTTATTTTTTCATCCTGGTAGAGTATTTCATTTAAGTCACCTCCTATAACCCATGGGAGATTTGAGCTGTCAGCGATCAGGTCAATGAGATGCCAAATTTTCACTTTTCTTCCTCGGGCGCAAAATCCATAGAACCCAGCGAAACAAAAATTAAAAGAATTCCAATTGACCTCGATATCGATGTGTATATTCGAGTAGCCCAAGAGATAAATAGTAATTTCATTTTTCCACAACAAAATAAGGCCAGTACAATAGTCAGTATTTTCTACAGCAAAACAACCCAACATCAATAGCCTAATCTTAATTCGCTCCGCTTTGTGCTTGCCAAGCATAGATTTCAAGATAAAAACGATGATCGGGTCCTTTTTAGAGATGAACCTCTTAAGTTCACGAACTGTCGATGGGTTCCAAGCCCTCGACATTTCCAACAGAAATTACTAATGGCGATAAGCGAGGTTGCTCCGCAGCCTCCGCTGCTGGTACATATTCATTACCCCTCTCAATAGGGGTTTCAGACAGGTCATCTTCTTGAACTGATTCACCTCTCGGTCTCAACACTCTTACCGTTTCCACCTTGCCACGAACCAAGGTATAGAGGACTATAACGTTTTCATAATGAAAACTCAAATCAAAAGGTATTATAATGGAGAGAGAAAGCTTTTGAGTGAGAAGAAAATTATAAGCTTAACATAAAACGGGAAAAGTAGAGGGTAACAAAGTTTTTGGATGTGACCCCTCAAAAAATTCAAATCCGTTTTCCTTTCATGAGCGTACCTCTATTTTTTCAAGTAGGAGATCTCTAAGTTGATTTGTATTAGGAAATGCCAATGATTTACCATTGTTCTTCCCAATGTTCTTTGATTGTGAAACTGTACCTTTTTATCTTTTTTAAGGCTCAAATGCTAAAGACGATCTCATTCCACAAGAAATGCTATAAAAGGCAAACCTTTTTCCACTTTTTCTCCAAGCCACCTAAGTGTGCAGTCCCCATTTTCGACAATTTTCACATCAATACTTTTGTCGATGAGACTTAACCTTTTGCTCTCCATTTGACTTTTTGAATACCATGAAGAGGAAAATTTCAGTTGTACTGTCCGAAGCATACTCTTCTTCCAAGATGAAGTTTTCCCACGACTGGTCCATGGTTATGAAAAGTTCCTCGATTACGTCCGGTGATCGAAATTCCACCGTTGACCTTCATTTTTTGGTAGAAACCACTCCTTTTTTTTGCTAAGCTACTCCATGAAGCCCTTATGCAAACATGTTTTAGATTAGAGAAAATAACCTCAGTGACCAAAAATCCCAGATAATATACGATTTTGATCAACTTTTTTTGGATTTGCGAAAATGACCAACAAAATCGCAATGCGATCTCTAATTCGCATTGCGATCTTCACTATCGCAAATTCGCGTTGCGATAATTGAAAATCGCGTTGCGATAGTTGAAAATCGCGTTGCGATTTTCCATTTCGCGTTGCGATTTTCCAGTTCGCGTTGCGATTTTCCAGTTCGCGTTGCGATAGTCTACAGTTGTCGTTGCGATTTTCCAAATTCGTTGCGATAGTCTACAGCTGTCGTTGCGATTTTCCAAATTCGTTGCGAAAATCGCGTTGCGATTTTCCAGTTCGCGTTGCGATAGTTGAAAATTGCGTTGCGATTTTCCATTTCGCGTTGCGATAGATGAAAATCGCGTTACGATTTTCCAGTTCGCGTTGCGATAGTCTACAGTTGTCGTTGCGATTTTCCAAATTCGTTGCGAAAATTCGTTGTGATAGTTAAAAAAAAGATTTTGTTTCTTAAGAATTTTCTCTAAAAAGATAGTATCTGCGCGGACGTGTCGAAGACACGTATTACCACGACCACGACCACGACCCGAGACGAGACGGACGGCGGCGGCGGCGTGCGAGAGCCCCCTTGTTCTCTATCACTCAACAAGGAAGTGGGAAAGCCAAGCCTTAAATACCATTCTCAATAGTGTTTCCAATACTATGTGGGATTGAGCATTACCAACACTTGTTTCCAATACAATGTGATTATTCAGGAAACAATTAACAATCATGCACCTTAAAACAACTGAATCAGCAACCAATTGCATTAGTATTATACGATTAAATATGTCATAATTAAAAGTTAATCTACAATCAATCGCGATTATTGCAATTTTAAGCAAAACATTCAAAAATAATATCACTATTTAAGGCTCAATCCCACATAGTATTGGGAACAAGTGTTGGTAATGCTCAAATCTCACATAGTATTGGAAACACTATTGGGAATGGTATTTAAGGCTTGGCTTTCCCACTTCCTTGTTGAGTGATAGAGAACAAGGGGGACTCTCGCGCGCCGCCGCCGCCGTCCGTCTCGGGTCGGGTCGTGGTCGTGGTCGTGGTCGTGGTCATACGTGTCTTCGACACGTCCACGCGGATACTATCTTTTTAGAGAAAATTCTTAAGAAACAAAATCTTTTTTTTAACTATCGCAACGAATTTGGAAAATCGCAACGACAACTGTAGACTTTCGCAACAATAGACTATCGCAACGAATTTGGAAAATCGCAACGACATTGTAGACTATCGCAACGCGAAATGGAAAATCGCAACGCGATTTTCAACTATCGCAACTCGAAATGAAAAATCGCAACGCGATTTTCAACTATCGCAACACGAAATGGAAAATCGCAACGCGATTTTCAACTATAGCAACGCGAAATGGAAAATCGCAACGCGATTTTCAACTATCGCAACGCGAAATGGAAAATCGCAACGCGATTTTCAACTATCGCAACGCGAAATGCAATGCGAATTTGCGATAGTGGAGATCGCAATGCGAATTAGAGATCGCATTACGATTTTGTTGGTCATTTTCGCAAATCCAAAAAAAATTGGTCAAAATCGTATATTATCTGGGATTTTTGGTCACTGAAGTTATTTTCTCTTTAAATTACCCCTTAATCTTCCTTTAACTAGATTCGGGTAAGCGAAGATAGTATTTCGGGTTACTTTTGTATCCCCATCTCAAGTTGCTTTCTTCATCCTCCATTTACAAAGTCATTGGCTTTTTCCGAGTGTCCATGTTAGAACCATTGTTCCTTTCCATATTTCCTTTTTGTGTGTGTTCCATCTTATTTCTTGACCTCTCTCTCCTTTACTTCCGTGAATGGATACTACTTGACATCTCTCTTCGGTCTAATGAAAACCATAATGAATAAGATTGATTTTAACAACATCTCTACGAGAACCATGACGATCATGACCATATTTTCTCACTAGAAACCATCTTAATCACTTAATTTGGGACATTTTGTATAACTCACTGATTTGAGGTTACTATACAAGGGAGGAAGCCAAGGAGAGATGGTGGGTGGGGTTGTAATTTGGAGATTAGGTTTTAGGGTTATAATTTGATAATTTAGATATAATTTAAGTGTATGATTATAATTTTAAATTTAAATTTTATTTTAATCATATTTGGTATTAAAAATATTTAAAAAATATGACATGTCATTGAGAAAAATAATAAAATAATCCACATCATCTTAGAATAAGCAAAAAAATCAATGTCTAAAGTTCAATGAGCAAATTAAAAAAAATAAAAATACGGTGAGTAAAATAGGAAAAAGTGTAAAATTCAATGAATAAACGTGTAATTTATCCTAGAAATAAATTGACAACTTTACATCAGTAGTATGAATAATAAGTGGTATTAATATATTAAATAAACCGATCAAAATATTAAATGTTATACATATTTGATATTAGGTAAAATTATAAAATTTTAAGGAATAATTTGGTAATATATATAAAATATAAGGATAAATAGTTTATTAAACTTTTATTTAATAGTGGGATCAAAATAGTCAATTTTTATAAGATTATTAAATTAAAAGGTTTTGGTTCTCTCTTCAGTTATTTGATCAAGCTCCGAATCTTGGGTTTTAGCGTATATTTCGCTCGGGTAATTCCCTCCACTTTCTCTCGTTCTTTTCTCTTTTTCCCCCAAACAAAATTATTGGAAACGCCTGTTGTTTTTCATTCTTTTTCCAAAACGTTGCTGTTTATTTCCTTTTCTTCTTAAATATTGTGGTTGATTTTGCAAATAATTTACAGATTTGTTCTGTTTATATGTAATTTTAGTGTATTTAATTTATTTTCTAAATCAGTTTGGTTTATTTGAAACAAATGTTTTAAAAAAATATTCTTAGTATTCCAATCCAGGCTATTGCAATGGAAGATTCTGATTTATTTTCGGAGGAGCCGCTTGTAACCCAAGGTTAGAAAAAGTTTCAATTCTTTCTTGTTTTTCTGTTTCTTTCTGTGTTGTTTTCTTTTGGTTGTTTTAATTAGATTTTGAATCTCTTGGCAGCTCGGGCTGGTGTCAAGTTTCAGCCCAAGTTTAAACGTAAAGCCAAAGTTGAAACTTCTTGCTCAATCCCTTCAAAACCCCGTGAAATTACGGAGGAGGAGGCCGCTACGGTAGCATCCACCGCCATTGATGCAGTTCAGGTTGTCAATCCCGACAATATTGTGGATGACAGTAAGAGCTCCCAAGTAGCTGCCACAGATTCTTTGCTTGCTGAGGCTGCTGTTTGCGATGATACAAATTCGAGCCTTGAAAGATCAGTCGGAGAGGTAAAGAAAAACTATTGTTTCTGTCTCATTTATTAGTAATTATATTGCCCGAAATCTTTCATTAATTTCTGGATATGGGTTTGGGATATGATTTTCCATGGATCCTAAATTACATGAGAAAACTTAAGGGGGGAAGTTAAGTGTGGGACACATACCTATTTGACAATCAAGGCTGAGTTGGAGTAACACAAAATAGTACTATTGTCGAACTAGTACCTTTTTTTCTTCTCAAGGCCTGGTATTAAATTATTTGGTAGATTTTGGCACATTGATTTCATATGAAGTGAAAAAGAAAACACAGTTCACTATTGGCATTATTTTCAGAATGCAGACTTGTTTTCTGGGTTGGAATGTGTTGATCCTTTATGTACTCAATCTTCAAATGATGATGGAGATATTCGGAATGATAATGAAGGAAATAGGACACAGGTGAAGATCGGTACCTCTGTAAAAGTTTCAGAATTTCTTGTTTGTATTTACTACCTTGGATTAATTTGGTTTGAATATTTGTTTAGTTTCAGGAAGCAGGAGCCTTCCCAGATATTGATACTCTAGATACTATATCAGATATGAAGATTACCTCTGGTATGTTATGGATTGATTGCTATGTTATTCATACTTCCTCTGCAGGGTGTTTTGTTGTGCCCTTCTGATATCTTTGTTGATGTTCAGGAAGGCATGCTGGAAAATTCAAACCCAAGCCTAGGCTACAAACTAGTGTACTCACCTCACCACCTGCCGTGGTTGAGTCGGTTATGCATCCTCCAAATGCTCAGTTTGGTCCTTCTGAAACACTGTTTGGAGAGAGATCAATTCCTGACTTGCCAACCGATCATGTTCCCAATTGCTCATCTCCAGATCCTTCCACCTCTGGCTCTGAATGTCCGGTGAATGAGGAATTCCCAAACCTTGCGGTAGCTTCTAACTTAGGTGTTGATCTTTGGGGAAATGTTCCTGTCGTGGCTAGAGAAGTGGTAATATTTTCTTCCACTGCTTCTCCTGTATCTAATCTGGGACATGGATAAAACTCATTTCCGAGTTTCACTATGTGATGTTATCCTGCTTATGTTCTCTATTGGTTCTCAGAGTTCTAATATCATGGAAAGGAACACCTCTCTAGTATCCAGTCCTCAAAAGTCCAGGCAGTCTTCCACGAGAGATGAGGTGAATGGAAAAAGCAAAGCAAGAAAGTGGTTGAGAGAGCAGGTGACTAATCTGAATATTGTTGATGATCTTGAGGATGGGACTTGTAATGACGATGGCTTTGCTGCTGAACACCCCCTTAGTTATGCTATCAATGAGGATAAAGACGACAACAATGGTGAATGTAGTGTCGAACGTGTATCTACAAAGAGGAAACCTTCTAAGAGGTCAAAGAAACCTGTGAATGAAAGTGAAAAACCTCCTCGAAAACGTAAGATAGCTAATGAAGCTCAGGGGACTAATCTGCATATTGTTGATGATCTTGAGGATGGGACTTGTAATGACGATAGCCTCGCTGCCGAACACCCCCTTAGTTATGCTATCAATGAGGATAAAGACGACAACGATGGTGATGAAAATGACAATGGTGAATATAATGTAGAGTGCGTATCTGCAAAGAGGAAGCCTTCTAAGAGTTCAAAGAAACCTGTGAATGAAAGTGAAAAACCTCCTCGAAAATGTAAGATAGCTAGTGAAGCTCAGGTGACTAATCTGCACATTGTTGATGATCTTGAGGATGGGACTGGTAATGACAATGGCCTCGCTGCCGAGCACCCCTTTAGTTATGCTGTCAATGAGGATAAAGATGACAACAACGGTGATGAAAATGACAATGGTGAATATAATGTAGAACATGTATCTGCAAAGAGGAAACCTTCTAAGAGGTCAAAGAAACCCATGAATGAAAGTGAGAAACCTCCTCAAAAATGTAAGATAGCTAATGAAGCTCAAAAGCATAAGAAAGTCAATGAAGCATCAGATAATCCAGAAAAAGAACAGCGGAAGAAATTTTCTCATTCAACTCGTAGAAAGAGAAGATTTGGTTGTTACAACTTCTAGATTCCAAAGCTATGTCGCTTTATCTGTTATCTATTACCTACTAAAATATATGTTTTTCTTTTTCAGTGGATGAGTCTTTACTCAACACGCCAGAGGATGAAATCGACTTTGCAAGGGTGGCCTTGAAGGATCTCATTCTACTTGCTGATTATAAGGAGCGGTTAGCAGTATGAGTTCTGTTTTTGTATAAAAGTTATGATACTTCCCCCAATCCTGCAAAGACTTTTGGCATTACAATATCAGTTCTATTATCTTTTGCCGATACATTGCTATTGTCCTTTACCTGACCTAAATCCGATGTGTTACGCAGAAGAAAGAGGCGAATGCTTTAGGAGTACCTTTAACCGATCAAATGTAATTGAGCTTTTCATTTTTGTAATTGTTTTCAACATTGTATGCAGTATATTGATTTATGGTTTTACTATTTTTGTGCAGTACTCAAAAGACATTTGATGAAGTAAATGCTCATGATGAAGAGAGCCCCATTGCTTCAGAACAAGACCAAGGTTTTGCAGATGATCAAGTGGGTGCCAGTGCCAAGTCAACTACCTACTTCAATTACCAGACTCACATGAACAAAACACCCAGAGTAAGATGGTCAAAACAGGACACAGAGTTGTTTTATGGGGTATGTGCTTGAAGAATTTCTTGTCTTTGTTGCTTCCATTAGAAACCAATTAAGCTTTATATCAACGGAGTAAATATATATATATATATATATATATATCATAAGTTTTCCTTCTTGTGCTAGTGTTTGTGTGGTTACAATTTTATATCGGTTTAGTATTGCAAAAATTTGTGATTGGACCATAGTTGGCATGTTGGTTGAGAGGATGTGTCTTGGCCTCTCGGGATAGGTTTGAATGTTTGATTAAGTTATTATGAATCCTGTTTTAGGTATTATGAAGATACATAGACTAGGTTCTCAGGATACTTCTGACCACTTTCTAGAAAGAGTCTATGATATGAATTTTTAACACAATGTTTGGTGAAATGTGTTTTAGGCCATTCGGCAATTTGGACCTGATTTTTCATTGATAGAACAACTTTTTCCTGGAAGAAATCGTCATCAGATCAAGCTAAAATTTAAAAATGAAGAGCGCCGATCTCCATTTAAACTTTCTGATGCTTTAGCAAGCCGTGCCAAAGGTGAAGTTCCTTTTTTGTTGTCTTTTCATCAAATGTTTGCTTACAGAATAGAGTAGTAATATTATAAACTATTTTGCAGATCATTCCTATTTTGAGAAGGTGATTGAGCAGTTGCGGCAAGTTTCTGGTGCAGATCTGGAGTCTAATAGAGACATTTCCATTGATTTAACACGTGAAGAGGAAGAGTTCACTCCCGCCGGAACTAATGTAAGCTTCCTTTTCTTCATTATTTTTGTCTTAAGAAGTGGGATAATAATTTTCAATGATGCTCTGATAGTGTTTGCTGAACATTAGGAATTGATATGTCCCGCCTAAGGAATATGAATCAATGTGTAGGAATGGCTATATGCATTTTAGAGGTTTTGCTATAGTAAAGTTTTTGAGAACTTAGAAAGTGATACATTCCTATCTTACTCGGACAACTGAGTATGTTAAATTTTTTCCCAAGATTTTCATGTATTTTGATTGTCCTTGTGAGGATCATATCCCCGTTCTAATCTATGATTCTATAGATATGTGCTGGACGTGAGTGTTGGATACGGAATGGCTGTATACATTTGCAAGGGTTTGATAATACAAAGTTGATACACGTACTTGTGTATGTTTAATATTTTTTTCCCCAAGATTTACATTTATTTTGAAGGTTCTTGGAGGATCATATCTCTAGACTCGTGTCTGGATATGTATTGGACGCCAGTGTTGGGTAAGTGCACTTCAAAAAGGGAAAAAATACAACAAATTATCTGATAAAAACTATTCAATCCCATCGAGTGTAATTACTACATCTAGATAATGACTTAATCACTTCATGTATTTCACACCATAGCTCTTACTTCCCTTTCTAATCTCAACCGTGTTCCATTTATGTTCCTTTTCTTTGATTGGTGATGAGATAATCATTCATTTGACAAGGGAATTTAGATGGACTGCTTATTAGTCATTACATTTTATATCTTCATGTGCTTGCAGGAGGAAGTGGCAAAACCCGAGCAGGATGAGGATGTAGCAAAACCGGAGCAGGATGAGGATGTAGTAATGAGAGATCGAGAAGCTGATGTTACTGACGACCACAGTACTTTACAGTCTGATGAAATGGATGATGATCGTGAAATATTGAGTTCATATAAAAGCGCATTTTAGGAAAATCCCAACCCCAATAAAGTAGTTTAGATTTTCTCAAACTTGCCCAAGGTGAGTTTCCTTTGTTGTTATCTTTTCATCAAATGCGTCACTGATTATTATGAGCTCTTCATGCTTACTAAATATATCAAGTTAGGAATCCCAACCCCAAAAGGTAGTGTAGATTCTCTTAGGGTGTTGGGAGAAATTAGCATATTGATTATTTCTAACTTTAAATCTGTGTTTTTTTCAGTCCATCTTTAGCACAGCTTGTGCAAAGGGCAATCTTTTTGTGCAAGGGATTAAATATTGGAGTAGAGATTTTTGTTTGTTAAGAATAGAGAATTAATCATTTGTCTTGAGATATTTAGTAGTTGAAGAACCTTTTATGGCTTCCAGAGACTAGAGATTTGAAACGATTTTATTCGTAGAATTAAAAGGATTTAGGGTTTAATTGAAAAGAATCTCGTGAGTCGGGCCCCACCCCTTACGAGCTGAGTCGTCATGAAGGATCTACTGACGGGGATTTTGGGTGTGCGAGCAGGTTAAAAAAAGGTTTAATAGATAATTTGGCCTGGCTTAATTTTCAGTTTGGCCCTTATAGTTTTGTTTTGTCAATGATTCTGACATTTTTTTGGGTAGAAATATTGATTAATTCATAAGTGACGTGAGAGGTTAAATTAAAAATAAATTATGATTTAAAAATTAAATTGAGAATAAATTTCAGAATAAACTTGAATAACAGTTGAGATTTTGAATATAAATATGTTTTTTAAATAATTTCTATTAAGGGCAGGAGATGAGAAATTTTGCTTTTAGTGGATAATAAACTCATAACTTAGGAGAGAGTAGAGACGTCAAATGAAAGTTTTTTAACTACTTGCTCTATAAATTGTTGACAAATATATTCTTTTATGAGTTTAAACTATTAGAAGATTTTAAGAATATAAGTAACCTATTTTTTTTATCTAATCTAATGATTAAATTTAAATTTTGGACTGTATATATCTTTAAAGCAAATTTTAATTCCATGATTTTTGAGATTTTTCTAAAATTTAAAGTTCAATAAAATAATTACGAATATAAGAACCGGTTAAGAAAAAATCAGAGTACAATGAACGAAGGTTTCAATATTTAAATATTTGATGTAAATATATTTTTGGACTTATTTTTTATCGACTTTTAGACTATAGTTTATTTTTTAATTTGTTCCTACACATATCATCTATAAATACATTACATAAAAAATTAAAGGCTAAAATGAAAATCAAATTATACTTTTAACAATCAAATTGTTTATTAAAATTGAAATATTTTGTGATTTTGGATGTGTATAGTGTTGACGAAAGAAAGTTAACATAATCAACCATTGGTGCAAATTCCCATGTTGAAATCATTTAATATTGCATTAAGATTTTTTTATTATCTTTTTTTAAAATATTTAAATAAAAATTAATTATAAAAAAAATAATATATATTATATTTTTGTTGAAATTTTTTAAATTTGATCATAGAATTTTAGAGGAGTAACCCAAACATATACTGTAAGACCGACGTGAAAAAGAGAGAGAAGAAAAGGTAAAGTATATACTGCTCAAATCTTTGGTAAAAAGGTACAAGGATCTTTATTCTTTTGAAGAAAAAAAAAACTAATCGTATTATTTTTAAATATTCTTTTAAATTATAAATAAATTTAATATAAATATGTTTGACAATCAACTTTTTTAAAAAATTTTAGTTTATTTGAGTAAAAATAGTTGATCGATTGTTAAACCCTTCATTTTGTGTTTGGTAAACACTTTTTAAAAGAGTTTATTGTACAAAATAAACTGAAACTAAAAATACCGAAAAATTCAACGGTTTATAAGAGTTGATTGCAAAATAAGATATTAAATGACATATTAGACCTTATTTTTTTCATAATTATATACTGACCATAAAACATAATATAATGAAATATCTTTTATCCTAATATATCTAAACTGAAATTCTACTTTATTATTATATATTTTAATTGTAGATTCTTAAATATATTTTAATTAAGAAAATATAGTAAAACATGAAAGTAAAAAAATACAGCGTTAATATTTTTATACAAAGTTAATAGTATGTATCAATCTCACAATGTTAATATTTATAAATATTAAATTTAAAAATATATTCAAAATTTTTAAAAATATTCAATAATGTTATGAAGGAATTTTTAATTCATTATCAAGAACATTTTATCTTAATAATTTCACCTCAATAAAGACTTATAATATATATATGTACTTCACAATTAAATGTATTATATCATTATTTATCATTTTACCCATATTAACTATCAGCTAAATTTTACCAAACACTTCTATATAAACAATTAATCAAATCAGTTTATCAAATCAATAAGTTGTTTGCCAAATAACCCCATAATCTTTTGATTAACATTTTTTGTCGTTAATCGTTACAATGCTGACGTGACAATTCACGAGGTTGACGTGACGGTCTATGGATTGATGTGACAGTTCACGATACTGACGTGACAGTCTACGATGTTGACGTGACAGTCCACGATATTGACGTTACAGTCAATCTGCCATGTTTAAGTTATCTGTCATGTCATCTGATACGTTATCAATGATCGTGGATTGTCACGTCAGGACTGTTGACCATCTTGTTAGCATCGTGAACGGTCACGTCAACACCATAAATGATCAATGACAAAAAGCATTGATCAGATGATCACATTAAATTTATTTTTTGAGTCGAAAGATTACATTAAAAAAAATAATACCATGATTATATTATTTTTAAAAAAAGTACAATGACTTTTGATTTCTTTTTATCCAAATCATTTTAATCCAAACAAACATTAAATTTGTATGTGATAAAGTTGAAAAGAAAAATCCCCACAATTTTGCTTCATTTCGTAATGGAATGGGGCCTGGAGGATTAATTTGGCGGGTTTTGTAGGGGAATTGAAGTGGGTGGGTTTAAAAGCAAACATTTAAAAGTGAAACTCCCCACAGCCACTCTCATTTCTCTCAAAATTCAAAACCCAAAGCTAATGGAAGAATCGGGAGAACCGGCTTTCGTTTCATCGTCCTTAGATGAACCTTGGGAGGATCAAGATTCCTCTTCCCAGCCTTCCTCCGACACTTACTTGCTCGGCTTTGTCATCGCCGACATAGTAGGCCTTCAGTATTACAGAGGCACAATCAGTGACCGATAGATGGTGGGTCTCGTGCGAGAGCCTCTCAACCCTTTTGACGCCAACGCCATCAAAGTTTTCAACACTAGAACCCTTCAATTCGGCCATATAGAACGTTCCGTGGCCGCGGTACTGGCGCCTTTGATTGACTCTCACTTGATTGTCGTCGAAGGCATCGTGCCTAATTCTCGTAGTTCCGTCAAGTCCGCGATTTCACGAGGCGGGTTGAACTTAATTGCTCACTCTGATGTGTCTTTCACGTTGTCGGAGGCTGCTGTGGTTAAGGGAAACCGGGCTGGAGGAGAGTCCCGGAGTTTGGATAAGGTTTTCAAGTTGGTTGAAAAGAATGTTAGCAAGAAGGCGGAAATGGCAACTGTGGAGCCTCCGAATGAGGTTATTATACCTCAGCTATTGTTGCACCAGAAGGAAGGTTTAGGATGGTTACTACATAAGGAGAATTCAAATGAGTTGCTTCCCTTATGGGAGGAGAAAGGTGGAGAATTCATAAATGTGCTGACAAATTATCAGACTGATAAACGTCCCGAGCCTTTGCGAGGAGGGATTTTTGCTGATGATATGGGATTAGGCAAGACTCTAACTTTGCTTTCTTTGATTGCATTCGACAAATTTGGTAGCATTGTTCCAAATTCTGGTGATTTTGTTGTAGAAGAGAATTTTGAGGAGAATGTTAAGAAGGGAAAGAGGGGTAGAGTTAGTAAACAAAGTTCTGGGACACGAAAAAAGCAAAAAGCAAAGGGGAAATCAGTGGTTGTAGCTGATGAGTCTCAGTTTTTCAGGAGGAAGAACCACGCTAGTTGTGTGTCCCCCCCTCTGTGTTTTCATCATGGATATCACAGCTAGAAGAACACACAAGTCTGGGAAAATTGAAAGTGTATATGTACTATGGAAGAGAGAGAACTAAAGAAGTCGATGAGCTTAAGAATTATGATATTGTGTTGACAACTTATAGTACCCTGGCTACTGAAGAATCTTGGTTAGACTCCCCTATGAAGAAGATGGAGTGGTAGCGAGTCATATTAGATGAGGCACATGTGATTAAGAATGCAAATGCTCAACAGAGTAAAGCTGTCACTAATTTGAAGGCCACTTGTGTTGTTACAGGAACACCCATCCAAAATGGCTCCTTTGACTTGTTTTCTTTAATGGCATTTTTGCGGTTTGAACCGTTTTCTATTCAAAGCTATTTGAGAAGTTTGGTTCAACGACCCCTTGCTCAGGGTAATAAGTGCGGCCTCTCTCGTATCCAGGTAATCATATTTCTAGTAATTCTTCTGGCATAGTTGATAATCTTATCAATTACTTGAAGAATAGTAGATTGTTTATGACAATTTGGTTTTGTTCAGGATGCGTTTCTGGCCAATCACTGTTTTTCTTTTGGTCTAGATATTTTGTTTGTTGACTTGGTTAGCATGGCTGATCCTGCATGAATTTGTTTTCCTCTTATTAAAGCAATTTATTTTTATTAGTTTCATACCCTTTGGTATTGCATGTTTGAGGGAGCTATTCTAGGTTTTCTTCATTTTCCTGGTTTTATCACCACGACGCAACTAAATTCTTAATGTTTTAGGAATGAATTTTCTTTTCTTTACTCCCCCCACCTGGTGGGGAGTTATGCTTAGGATTATAGAAAGAATTGTCTGTTGTGAAAAATAACTATGTTAGATTGCAATTACTGCTTTGACTGTTTCATTTTTCTATATATAGAAAATGGATTATCATTTATGGTATGGATTTCATTATTGCCTTGGTTATTGCAAGTACCATTTGATACTTGAATAATGCTTTTATCTAACAAAGCAGCTGATGTTCTAAACCTGATTGCACTTTTTGTACTTCAAACATTAACAATTTCCAGTGCTAAAATGTTTCAATGGCATAAGGCCGTTGCTAGTAAAATAGTGCATATACATTGAAGGCATCTGATTAAATTTGTAATTGATGCTTGTTTCATCAAACTTAATTTCTTACAATTTTTATACTGCTTAGAAATATCACTTACATTTAGTAGCATTAATCAAGTTGTGATGACTCAATTAATTAAATGTTGAAAACTTTCCCTGAAAGAGAAACTTGGTACAGTTGAAATGGATTCAAATAAGTTCACATACATAATTAGAGCAGCTA